TAGATAGATAGATAGATAGATAGATAGATAGATAGATAGATAGATAGATAGATAGATAGATAGATAGGTAGGTAGGTAGGTAGGTAGGTAGGTAGGTAGGTAGATAGATAGATAGATAGATAGATAGATAGATAGATAGATAGATAGATAGATAGATAGATAGATCTATATCTCATATTCAAACATCACTTTTGATTGGGACTCTTCAGTCTTAATTCAGACAAATCTAAGTGATATCCTGAACTAGTAAAGTATGTTAAACCAAAAAAAGTTAGACCTAGCATAGGTCTACGAGACAAGGCAGATTCAAGGTTTGCTATCAAGATTCCTGACTAAATGTTGAAATATAGCTCAGTTCCTGGGGATGGAACATTTCCCTGTAACAGAACTCCAAAAAAAACCTACTAGGCTTTTGGCTTTCCACATTTATTGCTAATATTCACATTCAGTTAATCTCACAGAACAATACGAAATAGGTCTTCTCAGACTCCTACCCAGGTCTGTTCAATGGGACTTAGACCCCAGAAAGTATTCTTAGGATTGCTCTGTCGTGGTCATGGTCATGTATACTGTCTGTATTTGTCCATGAACGAGTCAAAGAGTAGGGGAAGCCTTGAATCTTGTTTCAGTGTCCTTTTATGGAGTGGATGACTGTGTGTTGGAAGTCTTCAAGTTTCCCAGAACTAGGAACGTTCCGTAATCTCAACCTGCTGCCTGAAATGTATACTTAATTTTTCATTCTTTTTATCATCTGCCTTTGCATGTTCACATCATATCTACCTTCCTTTACCTGTCCAGATCAGAGGTCTCCAAAATGGTACCTGCCAACACCTTTCCTATCACCCGCCAAGTGTTTTTTAGAAAGTGGGAGGGGCTAGGAGGGACTTTTGTCCAGCCGGGCATCTGATTGGGCACTGGAGATCTGGTAGGCTGTGCTGATTTAAAAAACATCCTGTTAAGCAGAGATTCTGCCTGAAATGTTGAAGAGGTATGATTAGATGTATGCATAACCTCCCTCCATGACACCTTGGGTTGGCTCTGCATGTTTTTGGAAGCCATAGGGTTGCCATCCCCCAGGTGGGGCCTGGAGATCCCCTGCTTTTGCAACTGATCTCCAGCTGACAGAGATCAGCTCCCCTGGAGAAAATGGCTGCTTTGAAGGGCGGACTCTATGGCATTGTACCATGCTGAGGCCCCTCCCCTCCCTTCACCAAACCCTGCCCTCTCCTGGACCCACCCCCAAAGTCCCCAGGTATTTTCCAACCCAAAGCTGGCAACCCTAGGCAGTCATCTTGTGACTGGCTTAATCTCCTGTGACAGACATTTTGTGGTTTTACCCACTGCCCCCTGTTAGAATTACAAAGGGAACCCACAGGCTCAGAAAGGCTGGGGACCTCTGATCTAGACAGACACTTCTTTCTAATTCTTATTTCCATCCCACCTTTCTGTCAATATTTCTTCTCTGTCTGTCTCTTTCTCAATTTTTATCCTTCCCTTTCTCTGTCCAAAAGCTATTCATGGCGCCAGATGTGTGGCCCACATTAGGTAAGCCTCATGATTGAATTGTTGTGCCCCAGCAGCTGCGGTGGCTCAAGTGGTTAAGACGCTGAACTGCAGGCTGTGGAAGGTCGGTAGTTCAGCAGTTCAAGACCCGAGTTGCCGCATGACGGAGTGAGCTCCCGTCTCTAGTTCCAGCTCCTGCCAACCTAGCAGTTCGAAAGCAAGAATTTGCAAGTAGATAAATAGGTACCACTTTGGTGGGAAGGTAACAGCGTTCCGTGCGCCTTGGTGTTTAGTCATGCCGGCCACATGACCACGGAAACGTCTTCGGACAGCGCTGGCTCTTCGGCTTTGAAACGGAGATGAGCACCGCAACCCTAGAGTCGGACTCGACTGGCTTTTGAGCAAGGGAACCTTTACCGTTACCTTTTACCAGCTAAAGACCAGCACTGTACACCATCTGAATTCCTGCCTGATATATCTGTCACTGGATAATAACCCAGGAGAGTGCAGGCCACAAGGCAGGGAGATCTGAATGCTCTTCCCCACATATGCATCACTAAAATATCTGGGCCTGACCTGGATAGCCCAGGCCGGCCCAATCGTGTTAGATCATGGAAACCAAGCAGGGTTGGCCCTAGTTTCTACTTAGATGGGAGACCATCAAGGAAGTTCAGGGTCACTATGCAGAGGAAGGCAATGGCAAACCACCTCTGTTCATCCCTTGCCTAGAAAACCCCACCGGGTCTCCATAAGTCAGGTGTGACTTGCCGGCACTTTACACAGACAGACAACATATCTGGGAGTATCTTCTAGTTTAGCCTAAACTGAATAAGGGGCTTTATCTAATGCAATTAATGAGACCGAACACGCTAAGAGAGCCAGTGTGGTGTAGCGCTTAAGCGTGGTAGACTCTAATCTGGAGAATTGGGTTTGATTCCCCATTCCTCCACATGAAGCCTGCTGGGTGACCTTGGGCCAGTCACAGTTCTCTCAGGACTCTCTCATCCCCACCTGCCTCACAAGGTACCTGTTGTGGGGAGAGGAAAGGAAGGCGATTGTAAGCTGCTTTGAGACACATGAGGCCTGCTGGGTGACCTTGGGCCAGTCACAGTTCTCTCAGGACTCTCTCATCCCCACCTGCCTCACAAGGTACCTGTTGTGGGGAGAGGAAAGGAAGGCGATTGTAAGCTGCTTTGAGACACATTAAGGTAGAGAAAAGTGGGGTACAAAAGCCTACTCTTCTTTTCTTTGTCTTCTTCTTCTTCTAAGTCATTCTTGGAATTATGAGTCAAGGTCAAAATGTTGAAATTCATAAAGGAAATAACAATCAATCTTTAGTGACACAGGCTTGTGCATTTCTTGATTGATGCCAAAAAGAGTTTGCGTCACTTCTTATTTCTTGACTAAATAACTGATTGATGCCAAAAAGAGTTTGCGTCACTAAATAAGATTGTCTGTAATGATAGTAAAGGCAGAATTTCTTACAAACGCCAGGTAACATCAGGACGTTGATAAATATGCCTGAAGATATTGATAGAAATGACACAGAGTTTTCGGAAATTCCTAGTTGTTCAGGTGTTTTGATAAATTAGAATAAAATTAGATCTTAAAGGAATTCAGTATTGGACCAGTATTCAGGTTCTAGGTTCAGACATATTTCTTTTACACCACCAGAATACTTACAAACATAACAGTTATCAGACGCAGTTTAAGACTTCAAAGAGAACTAAAGAATGTCTATTTCATATTCATAATCTTCATAGAAAGCTTTATCAACTGAAATAAAATCAATCCATCATCTGAGGTCTCTGGCCAGAGTAAAATATAAATCCAGTCAAGCAATCTAATAAATAGGAGCCAAAACAGGAGAAATGAAGATGGCACAGTTGTACTTATAATATACCCATTAAAGAGGAACCATGGCTCAGTGGTAAAGCATCTGTCTTGCATACAAAAGGGCCTAGATCCAGTCCCTGGCATCTCAAGGGATCGGGTACAAGGTGATGTGAAAGACCTCTGTTGGGACCTAGAAAATTGGAATAAGTGATACTGACTTTGAGACTCCAAAGGTCTGACCAATAGAAGGCATCTTCATGTGTACACAATGCTCCCTCTAAGCTGTGGAGCCTTGTGAGCAAAAATTCCACTTTGTCAGCTCCTGGCATTAAAGTCGTGACCGAGCGATTTGGCTACTGCATAAATTAGGTTGCTCTGGAGCACCTCCTTCCTGGGCTAAGACAAAAATGTGTGAGCCGGAGGCTAAAAAACTGTGAGCTAGCTCACACTGACTCAGCTTAGAGGGAACACTGCACTTAAAACAGATAGGAAGTGGTAAAAGTTAACAGAGGAAAGGCAGAGCAAAATTAGAGTCCAATGGCGCCTTTAAGGCCAACAAAGTTTTATTCAAGGTGTGAGCTTTCGTGTGCTGCCCACCTTGATCTTTCTTTATGAAAGAAAAGACGGGGTTTTGATAGTTATAAATGAAAGTGAAATTTAAAAATGCTTTTAGTCAGGGCTTTTTTGTAGAAAAAGCCCAGCAGGAACTCATTAGCATAATAGGCCACACCCAACAGCTGAAACTCATTAGCATATTAGGCCACACCCCTGACAACACAGTTGATTAGCATATCAGGCCACACCCCTGTGCCTTCCCTTGGCTTGCCCAGGCAACCTGGCCCTTGGACTAGCTGGGGAAGGCACGGGAAGGCATTTAAATGCCTCCCTGATCCTTCCAGGGGGCCCCTTGGCCCGCCCACCTTGGAGTCGCGGGGGGGGTATTGCTCTCCAGGCCTTTCCTCTATAGCCACACACAGAGAAGTTTTGGCTGAACTCTGAAGCCAGCCAGAACTCCGTTCCTGTGCGTTCCTGCCCCAAAACAGCCCTGCTTTTAGTTTAGAAGATGGAACAATGGGAAAAACCTAGAACTGCTCTCCTTTTAGTCAAGTATCATTGATCAACCTCGTACTAACCCGGCCAATTAATTTCAAATTGTAATCTTTTATGATTTTATATTGTAATAACAAGACACGGTTAGGGGACTGGTTAGAAATACAAGCCCTCCTATTTAAAGACAATTTAAAAAATAATTAAGGCATTGGCGATTTAAGATAATAAAAGGAAAGGACACTCCGCCTGTCGTATTACTATGCTAAATGTATAAATTAGATTTTATATTGATGACACTTTACTCAGGAAAGAAAGTCTGGATGCCCGTAGAATGTCAGTGTCAATGTAATCCATGAAACATACCGGCAACATATTTGTTTCTGGTTTGTTACAGGGACCGAGAGGAGAAATTGGAGCCCCGGGACTCCCAGGAGGAAAGGTAAATTTCTCATCAAACTTCCTGATTCTAGATGTGAGAAAGGAAGACAAATGAACATGCGACAGAGACCACTAAGCTAAAAAAGCTTCTATTTGTATCAGGGTGAAAATGGCGTCCCAGGCGAACGTGGCGCACAAGGTCCTCAAGGCCCTGCAGGAGGTAGAGGTGGAGCGGGCCCTCCGGGACCAGAAGGCGCAAAGGTACTTAGAGGCAGCAGCCAGCTTGGTGCATTCCTTAAAATATGTTCCAGACATTTTCTCTCTGTTTTAATATTAATTGTTCTAATTCAAAATATCATTCCAGGGTCCTGGCGGTCCT